GGTCATTTTGAATATCACCACGTATCTCCAAGGGGGAGGGGCGTTCCAAAAATCTTTAAAAAATCGATCACGTGATTAATGGACGTCAATTAATGTTATCCGACAGCATTATAAAATTTAGATTTATATATGATCTCAGGAAAAATGCTATAATTATTTGATACTAATTTAAAAAAAAATGGATTAAGACTTGAAAGTCAAACGGGCTCATAGAGGGTTAATTGAACTTCTGCACAATATTTTTTGAACTTACTCAAACTTCAACTATTCTATATTTTCCAATTATGATAATAATAAGCCTATTACAGTGACTTTTCATCAATAGTGAAAGTCAATTCAATGCAGTAAATTAGTTCTGCATTCACAACTAAAGCTTTCGCCTCTCTCGGTAAAAGTACTTCCTCAACTTAATCCTGCCTAGATTAGATTCAGCGTCTGATATTTAATATTCCACAGTAATGTGTATTGCAAAAGTTTGCAAGAATAATGTAATCCTATCACTTTATCTTCAGTTACCATCTAAAAACTGATATATTTGCATACAGGTTCACAAGACAGGTGAAAATAACCCGTATGCCCGATGAATCGGATATATGCATGGCCGATCTTATAATGCATCCGGGTGATGTAAAGGAAGCGACTGTCGCTTCCAGAATGCGAAATACGAATGTAGCTGTTCTTATCAATTTACCAGAACATCTTTGTATAAATATCGGCGAGGATACCGACGATAGAGTCCAAGATACGCTCATTGGTAAAAGATTGAAATTTTGTCTTAGGATATTGTTCGGCTCAAGGCAGAATTTGACTCCTCGGCATTGAAGTAGTTTTATTACTTTAGAGACTAACTTGCCAATTCTCCAATGAAATAGAAATTGTTTGGCAAACCTATATTATGGTCCTATCTTTTATTAATTGGTAATATATAAATATAAAATCTAACCTCACGTATGTGTTATCAATGAGACATCAGAAAGATGCACTTATGATAAAATTGTTATTTGACGTTTATGCCTTTTGGAGGTTAGGTTTTATGTGTGGAAAGCCTAATCGCACAGCAAACACATTTTGCAAACTTTATCCACCTAATTGTAACCACTAGGGTTTACATAACTAGTTTTTAAAACCGGTTTTTGAAAACCGACAAACCCTAGTAACCACCTATGTTGCGCATAAACTCTTCAAAAGTCTAAACTATTATCAATTAATACATTTACCTTTTTATTCAAGTTTGTGTTTCACGTCATTATAAATTACGTATTTTTACCATAATCTGTAGAATATTTATTGTAAATAATTTATGTCCTTTATTAGGAAGTGAAGAAATGCGCATACGCCATTTACGCAAGTTGGGTTTCAAAGTGGTCTGTTTAGATTACGACAGCATGGATAGACTTCTTTATAATCCTATAAAAATGAATTCATACTTGAGAAGTAAATTTGACGAAGCACTGAATTGTCTCTAAATCAAAAATAAATAATGGAACAAGTTAAAAAAACAATGCTGATCTCTGATTCTCTAAATTTTTGGTCTATGAAGATCTTTCCACGACTGTGAATGTGCTACAAATAAATTTATTTACTTAAATTCTTCGGTGACATAAAAATAGAAAACTATGAAATTTTTGTTTTGAACATTTATATATGTATTTTCGTAAAACCTGTAAAATATTATTAAAAAAATCGCAAATGACTCCTGTAACTGATATATAAATATAGTTTGTAACAAAGATAATAAACATATGATAAAATTGTGTTTTATTGACATGCATATACATACATATATATATATATATATATATATATATATATATATATATGAATATCTACAGGGTGTCCCAGAACTCAGCGTCAAACCGAAACGGGGTGATTGTATTTACCTTTACTGCCCTGAAACAAAATGATTGAAATTATAGACAACCTACTGCAATCTAGAGCTTTGCTGAAATTGTGACTATTTTTTGATTATGTGGTTAATTTTTATTACTTTTATTCATTTAGACTTCAGAACCGTAACCATAAATAGTATTTCCAGGACCACAGTGACAAATAATGGCACATTTGCCCTCTGTTTTTAAGAATTAACACTTTTTGTTAAACTATGAATTTAAAATTTTCTAAATTAGTTGACTTTGAGAAACCTTTCTTAAAAAAAATGTACTAAAGTATGTTGTCAAGCTCCATGATAGTTTGATAGTTTCATAATAAAAAAATTCGATAAGAAACTATATTCGAGTATGTATGTATATATATAATATTTATATATATATATATATATATATATATATATATATATATATAAATATATCAGGGTGGTCCTTAATACGGATGTTTAGATTTATGGATTTGCTTTCAGGGACTCAAATACTTCCAACAGGGAAACAAGGCAATTCGAAAACATCCACATTAAGGAAGAAAAGAAAACATTCACTCAAATATATATACATTTTTAATTACAGCTATATAATATGTGTTTTATTCCACAAAAGTATTTATAATTTTGTAATAAGTATAATTGGGCAGAATATAAATTTTTATTGTTGTTTGTATGTTATTATATTACAGTATTTCTCAAATATTATCTGAAAATGGTAATGCTTTATGTCCTATACTCAAGAAAAGCTAAAAATGCATTTAATAATTCAGAATAGCATTCATATAAAATAAAATTGTTGACAATTAGTCTGTTTCAATATTTATACTATTAATGAAATCTTTATTTCAATTAATAAATTACAAATAATTTTTTGTGGTACCATTGCAATCTTAGTGGTATTTAAAAAATCTAAATTGAATTCTGAAGAACAATCAATACTTTTTAAAATTTATTCAATCTCTATTATCAAATTTCAATTTAGATCATCTGAATTACTAGCGATTTTAACTAAAATAATGAAATTATCAGTATTAATCCTTAGGAGGCGTCCTATAATCACGTGATCGATTTTTAAAGATGTTTGGAACCCTTCTCCCCTCTTGGTGATATTTAAGATTAAGCTCGTTTCTCCATCCAACATCATGTATTTTTAGTATCTAGAAAAAATCGTGAATTTTTTGAAAACATTTTTATTTCTTTAAATTAAAAATAGATTAAAAATAAGAACACGTGATATCTTACTTTATAATTTGTGATTTTTCCCAAAACCCTTTTCCCCTTTGTAATACATAATCAATGGGCGGCACGCATTAAACAAGTAATTTATTATTTACTTTTGATACTGATGCAAAATGTTGAGAAATACTGTACAAATTCAATTACATTAACGACAATTTTTCACCAACTTGAGTGATTTTCACAAGTCATTTTCATATCTTGATATAAATTATGCTAATCATATTTCCTCCCTAGTCGTGTAGTGAAATCGGAGGCCGAACTGGAAGTTTTGCGCTATGTGACGCGGGTGTCCTCCGACGCGCACAAGCAAGTGATGATCGACTGCCGCCCCGGCTGTATGGAGTACTTCGCCGAGGCGGTTTTCATGAGGCACGTCTACGGTGAGGCTGGATGCAGGCAGGTCAGCTACACGAACATATCTGCGGGAGCGGTCTCAACTCCGCAGTTTTGCATTACGGTCACGCCGGGGCCCCTAATGATAGGCTGATAAACGACGGCGATATGTGGTAAAAGAAAAATTGGCGATTCACTTTTCCTCATTTATTTCTTATCTCCATTATTATTATTCACTTTTTATACGCTTTTATGCATTAACCTTTTAACACTTTGCTTCCATGCCTCCTCGGCTTTCAGTTCTCTGTATTTTCTCTTCTGGCGTAAATCATCAACCATCTGCATTCTTCTTGTATTCAATCCTTCAATGACCTTCTATTTTGTTTTGACGACGTCGTGTAGGTGACACTCGTTTTGCAGAATGGCTCCAATCCAGTTTCCTTTTCTAATGATCGTGCTCAGTAGAATTCTTTTCCTGAACTCTATTTAGCACTTCTTTATTTGTTACCTTATCTGTCCATTTTATTTTCTAATGCTTTCAATTTCCTTTCTTGGAGTTCATGTCTCTGATCTCTAGAAGGGTTATGCTCCAGATAAAATTTACAAACTTCCCGAAGGAGAAGTTTGTTTTCATCAAAAATCCGATTTGCTAATTTTATGTTTTCTCATTCTGAATCGAATGAGACCAATTTGGAAAAAGTATGTATGTGTGTATGTGTGTGTGTATGAACAGATTTTTCGCCGTAAATCGACGTTTTCTCAAAAACGGCTGGACCCATTTCAAAAATTTAAAAGCCATTCGATGTATTTCGATGAGGATTATTGTTTGTCACTTTTGTGCAACGATCGACCAAGCCGTTTCCTTATAAATAGCAGAAAAGTGAAAAAATTTTCGTCTTCGTTTTAGCCCGCAATTCTGAATCGATTTTGAAAATTCAAATATATTGGTTGGGAATCGTGCTGATTAGTTTTTGGTGGAGATCGGCCGGGCCGTTTTCTTGTAATAACGTATTGAAAATTTTCTTTTTGACGATTATTATTATTATTATTTTGACGGTTGATACCATAGTCTTATAGATCATACTAAAATATTACGGCCCTACGACAAGTCGTTTAATTTTAAAAATTGTCAAAGATTGCAAAAATTAGTATCGTTTTTTTGGCATTTGTCAAAATTAGACCTTTGATCGACGTTTTCTCAAAAACGCCTGAACCGATTTCAGAAATTTAAAAGCCATTTGATGTATCTCAATGAGGACTATCGTTCGTCAGTTTTCTGCGACAATCTGCCAAGCCGTTTCTTTGTAATTTGGAAAAAAGTGGTAAACCCTTCGTTCACATTTAAGCTCATACTGCCAAATCGATTTTAATGAACATACTAAATCATTAAAGCCCTATGGAAACTGATTCAATTATAGAAATTGTTGATTTTTGAAATGTGCTTTTAGAAAATACTCCGCATTAACGTGTTCGTCATGTGTAATAAATCCACTAGGAATACTTTTAATCACATAAATTAATTTATTTTTATTAATTAAATGGATTATTTATACATTTCGGAAAGTTCATGTAACTTGCCTCAAGGCAAAATACCAATACCAACTAGTTGGAGTAGTAGTTATTTTATTGAAGCGCATTAGCTGATATATTTAAAACGATCTGTATTTTTTTTAAACGACTGCATTGTTTAGTATGAAGTCACTCCTATGGATTATCTTTCTAATTAATTTGTTTTAAATTTGTCTTTACAAGTTTTTTTTATATTTAGTTTGTTCGACATGGGTGGCAACTATTGCGGCTACGCTGCTGACATCACTTGCTCATTTCCTGCAAATGGAAAGTTCACCGATGACCAGAAACTGATCTACAATGCCGTCCTGGCTGCTAACCTGGCAGTACATGGCGCAGCTAAAGAAGGCGTGACCTGGTTGGAAATGCACCACTTGTCCAACAGAACTCTTCTCAGCAAGCTTAAGGAAGGCGGACTTCTTAAAGGCGACGTTGATGAAATGATGAATGTAAATAATGATTCAATGTGTTACAGTATTATTTGTCCATTAGTCAAATTTCAAAATATTTAATAAGCCAAAATTTAAAATAATATAATTTTATTTTCGTCATTTCTTTTCCAATTATAGGCCCATTTGGGTGCCGTATTCCAACCTCATGGTCTTGGTCATTTAATTGGATTGGATGTCCATGATTGCGGAGGATATCTGAAACATTGTCCAGCTCGTCCAACTGGTGGAAATGACTGCAAACTGCGTTTTAACAGACCTCTCTTGGCTGGCATGTGTGTCACCATTGAACCAGGCTGTTATTTCATAGATATCGTAGGTTTTATATTAAAAATATACTGGAGTTACTGGAAGTTTTCTCTTTCTTTCCAAAATAATGTAAAAATTTAATTAGAACTAAATTTGTAAATAGCTAAATAATGTAAAAATGTATTTATTGTTGTTTATGGATCTGATGAAATATTTGTATTGTACAGTAATTTCTATTTGCAACTTCAGTGTTATTTTTATAAATTTTTTAATAGTTCATATGGTTAAATGCCAACCATTTGAATTAATAAATTGCAATGTGTAGTATTTAAAAATTCGAGAAGTATTTTTAAATATCATATTTAAAATTAGGTTCTGGACCAAGCCCTTGCTGATCCTGCCAAGTGTAAATTCTTGGTTCCTGAAGTGATCAAGCGTTTCCGTGGAACTGGTGGTGTAAGAATAGAAGATGATGTAATTATCACCAAAGACGGTTGCGAAAATATGACTAAGGTCCCACGCACGTAAGTTTATTTTCAAAATTTTTTTTACTACTCAGGAAAATAATTCAGAAGCATCTATATTGTTCAATGCCTTAATGCTTGATCTACTGTAATAAAGCTAGCTTTTATAACCTCTAATAGGCCTATTATATGCAGTCTGCCTATTATAGGCAATCTCCAAAAATTTTAAAATTATAATTTTATTATAATTTATATCTTATTTACAATAAGCATATTTCTTTTACAATTTTCTAATAAACTTTTTTTTCAGCGTGGAGGAAATAGAGAGCTGGATTGCACAGGGTAGAAGCAAGTGCTAAACACAAGTTTTTTTGATGCAATTTCAAATACCTATCAAAGTATTATGGTACCTGCATGCCCATTTATATATTTAGTAAATCCTAATCCTTTTAATTGACATTATGTATAAATATAATATATAACTTTTCTTGTATTCAATTTTGAATTATACGTACAAATATATTTTTATAGTCAAACATTTATTTTTTTGTTTAAAGAAATTTTGTATAACAATACTGCATTGATAACGAATCAACTGTATAACTGATAACGAACTGTATCAACGAATTTCTAAACTACAACGAATTATTATTATTAATCATTTTTTTCGTTATCTGTCATAATAATAAATCGTTTAAACTTAAGTTTTGGGCCAAATTTATGTGAAAATTTTATTGATTTTTTGACTTCAGAGAATCGTTGCAAATTTAATCTATAACTTCATTAAAAAATATGAAAAACGTGAAATGGCAATCAAACAATTCTAAAATTTTTATGAGATGTTTTCAATATGAGATTTTTTTTAGATTTTCATCGCGCAGGTATAGCTATAGTTTCTTCAATCCATTGTACAAAATTTAATACATTAACATAAACTCCAGGAACACCAGCATCTCCACAACCGATTCCCCAAGCCACCAGTCCTGGTATAAACCAGCGACCATTGATTTCACATGATAAAGGTGAGCCACCGTCTCCCTGAAAATAAAATAATATCATAAAAACCTACTGTTACTGATTATAGTCATTGATTATTGTCATTGGGAAGTCAATAATTAAACTCGAATTAAGCAAGAATATTTTATTATATGTAGGAGTGAAGAAATAAAGCTATCAGATAGAGCTTTATTTTTTATTATTACCGTGCAAGCATCTTTTGATATTTCTCCGCCAGCACAAATGAAACTTTCATCAAACACAAAGGCAGATCCAAGCTTGGTTTCACGTAGAGATGATTGGCAGCTATCTGATGATTGTATTTTTACATCGACATGCTTCTGCACTTCCTGTAATTGGCCCGTCAAAGCATTTTTTCCCCATCCAGATACCCAGCATTTACAGCTAGATAATTATAAGTATAAAGAAGTTGTAGATTATCTTCTAATTATTTAAATTTTATCTCAACATTTATATTTCTCTATACTATAAAGTTTTCATTTACTTGCAATTGCTAAATGATCTTGTTGGTAAACAAGCTGCTCCAACAAGTGGTGAAGTACCTAGTAACACATTATTTTTCAGCCTTATGATTGCGATGTCATTGTGCAAGTTTTTTTTATTATAATCCAAATGAACTGCAATTGTATGAACAGCAAATTCTTCATGACGAATTGGTTCTCGATCGGAAGATGCATCCCATTCGCCAAGACGCACTTTGAGTTCAGAATATAAGTTTTCATCAAGATCTCTGCATTTTGGTATGAAACATTTCATTAGAAATTTAGTACTTGGTAGCATTAATATTTTTTAAAATGAACAAATGAGCTGGATTTATTATATATTAAATAATTAATTAAATAAGTATAAGCTATGCATTATGAGCATATTATCAGGATCAGAAACTACTATCCTTAAGCATGAAATAAATCAAATTACTATCTTCTATATCGGAATTGTGAATTTGAGTTTATATTTCATATAGTTCCGTATAACTACAGCATATACGTGTATATCTTACTCAACATATTGTGCAATTTTATGAGCAGCTGTTATAACATGTCTGTCGTCCACCAGAACTCCTGATCCTATATATACGTTATTTTTCAATATAACCGCTTGCCAAGGATACGCCCCAAATTGTGTCTGACCTGGACCCGTAGGTTCAACTTGGGGCACCTAGAAAAATGGAATAGTTTTTTTGATGTTTTCTCATAAATTATCATTAGTTTCTGTTTCATTCGATTAGTTTGTTCATGAATTAGACACTTCGAAAACATGTTGAAACCATAAAAAAAAGAAGTTGAATGGCTTGCATGAAAGCGAGGGTGGCTCGCATGGTTTAATTCATTTTTAATTTTTATATGCACATTTATTAAAATTATTTTTGTATATTTATTAACTCCCGAGGGAGAAGTTTATGTTTTCATAAAAAAATCCGAATCGCTAATTTTATATTTTCTCGACTTTTCAAGCCATTCTGAATCGAATGAGACCAAATTTGTAAAATGTATGTGCATGTGTTTGTGGTGTGTGTTAACAGTTTTTTTTGCCGTAAATCGACGTATTCTCAAAAACGGCTGGACCGATTTAAAAAATTTAAATGCTATTCGATGTATTTCGATGTATTTCGATGAGGACTATTGTTTATCAGTTTTGTGCCACGATCGGCCAAGCCGTTTCTTTATAAATCGCAGAAAAGTGAAAAAATTTTCGTCCACGTCTCAACCCGCAATTCTGAATTGATTTTGAAAATTTAAAAACCGTTCAGAAGATATTGGTTGGGAATTGACCTGATTAGTTTTTCATAAAGATCGGCTGGACAGTTTTCTTGTAATGAAGTTTAAAAAAGATGTTTTGACGATATTTATCAAAATTAGACCTTCTATCGGCGTTTGCTCAAAAACGCCTTTAAATTTCAGAAATTTAAAAGCCATTTGATGTATTTCGATGAGGATTATCGTTTCTCAGTATTGTGAGACGATCAGACGAGCCGTTTCTTTGTAATTCGGAAAAAAGTGTTAAATTTTTCGTCTACATTTAAGCTCATACTAAATAGTATGTATGGCTTGTACGGTACCGAATCGATTTTAAAAAATCAAAAACTGTTCGAAAGATATTAGTTGGGAATGATACTGATTAGTTTTAGGTGAAAATCTACCGAGCCGTTTTCTTGTAATTAATAGTTGAAAAAAAAAATTTAAACCGATTTTCATGGAATTTTTTTGGCGATATATATCATGGTCTTATAGAACTTACTGAAATATTACGGCCTTACGACAAGTAGTTTAATTTCAAAATTCATCAAAGTTTTATGTTTGTTAAAATTAAAATTAGTATAACGATAGAGTACTTGGTCTTAATGAACATACTGAACCATAAAGTTTTACAGAGACTGGTTCAATTATAATAATTATTGATTTTTGAGAATTTGCTTTTAAAACATACTTCGAGTTAACGTGATCGTTCGTTTTCAATGATGTGTAATAAATCCACTCGGAATACTTTTAATCACCCATAAATTAATTTATTTTTTATTGAGTAGCTCGATTATTTACAAATATTAGAAAATTCATGTAATTTGCCTCGAGGCAAAATGCTAATACCAACTAGTTAAAATTTATATCTATATATATTGTATTACTGTAAATATTTCTAGTTCAAATACAGTACAAATGATGTAGGATGTAAACATGTTAAACAATACATACAAAATGTGTAGAAAAATACACTTAAATGTGTCTTTATACACACACAATACGCAAGTGTGTAATTATCATGGAGTGAACAATGCTGCGCATGCGCAGACTACTTCAGGCATATGCAAACTGTCAGTTTTACTTACAAGGACGAAACTTAATTGTCCTGTGTTAATAAAAATTTTCAGTTACCATCAGTGTGAAAATAAACGTGAAAAATAATGGAAAAGAAAGTATATTGTTTAATTGGTGAAAGGTGTAAATGTATTAAATATACAGTGAACGAACAAGTGTCTGATGTAAATATGATTCGGCGTTGTTTGGATGAAGCGCGCAGAAATGATCATATATTGGACATGATGCTGTTCAATAAATATATAGTTTTACAGAAAAGGGATATTGATCGAAATAATCAGTTTTGTGATATAGAAGAAGATGATATTATCGAAAATAAGAGTGATGTTCGAGTGGTATTAATTACAATCGACGAATCTACGCTTACAAACTTCATTCCTTCAAATTCATCGACTTCTATTGAAATTTATGAAGGCAGTGAAGAAAAAGAGACTGAATTCAAATCAGATGTGATTTTTGTAAATGACACAACTGATGTACCACCTGTTCAGGAGGTTTGTTATAAAATGTGATGTATTTGTTTAGTACTTGATACAATTATCAAATGCTTGCGTTCTTTTAGGATTCTACACCGGTTGAAGCTAATGAGGATTTGAACAAATCCGAGGTTATTTTTATAGATAACACATCTGACATAACACCTGTTCAAAAGGTTTGTCGATGCTTTTGTTTAGTACTTGATACAATTATTAATGTTTTCGTTCTTCTGGCAGGACATAAACCCCCCGAGTCCTGATACTGAACCTGTGCTCCGTAGAAAAAAATCATCCATCAAAAAAAAATCTTTTCATTCACTAGTATCATTACCTCCACTGACATTAGATTTGTACCAAAAAATAAAAGAAGAGGGAATAACACGCAAAAATAGAAAATACTTTATTGCACACTGGGGTTCCTACTTATGGAACGTCACAAACAAAAACCCTAAACCAATCGATTATTATAAGTTGAGTGAAAAAATTATTGAAAATTACCCGAGTTTTGACATCGGTGAAGAAAGTTATGTAAGTGCATAACTTATGTATGTTATTATCAATTATAATATATAGTATTAAATATTATTTTATATGAAATGAACAGAATTCATTACGGAATTTATTGAGTAGTTGGATTCGGAATCGTCGAAGAAATATAAAAAAAGCTATTATAAATGAAAAAGAGAGACGAAGACGGATGCAATACCTCATTTCGTGAGTAGTCATAGAACAAAATCATTGTAAACTGTTAAATATACGTTTTCTTCAAATTGTAAATACAATTTTCAATTTGTTTGATATATATATATATATATATATATATATACATATATATATACATATATATATATATATATATATTAATTGTTTAATATGAACAAAACAGCACTCAGATTTGTTTAACACAACTTTATTTTATGATTACAGACGTTTCGAGACCATGGTGTGTCTCATCTTCAGTGTAATTTCAAAAACAGTTACTTATATACTACACATTCTTTAATAATTTATTTAAATTTCATTTAATTTTTGGTATACAAAAAACACCAACTATTCCTTGCAATGCTTGACACAGTACTAAAGAAACATATAACACTTACAGAAATATTCTAAACAAATTTGAAGTACTTATCTAGATGGAGACAGAGAGGGTATCATTATAATGTAAACAAAAGGAGTGCTATCGCATACAAAAATCGATAAAAATGAAAAAACAAATTAATTTATTGAAAAGAATAAGATAAATGAAAAAATTTATAAAACATCATTAATAATTTATAAATTTTTTCATTTATCTTATTCTTTTCAATAAATTAATTTGTTTTTTCATTTTTATCGATTTTTGTATGCGATAGCACTCCTTTTGTTTACATTATAATGATACCCTCTCTGTCTCCATCTAGATAAGTACTTCAAATTTGTTTAGAATATTTCTGTAAGTGTTATATGTTTCTTTAGTACTGTGTCAAGCATTGCAAGGAATAGTTGGTGTTTTTTGTATACCAAAAATTAAATGAAATTTAAATAAATTATGAAAGAATGTGTAGTATATAAGTAACTGTTTTTGAAATTACACTGAAGATGAGACACACCATGGTCTCGAAACATCTGTAATCATAAAATAAAGTTGTGTTAAACAAATCTGAGTGCTGTTTTGTTCATATTAAACAATTAATATTCGTTCCACTCATATCATAAAATTCTATAATATATATATTATATATATATATATATATATATATATATATATATATATATATATATTAGGGTGGTACTTAAAGTGGTCATTTTCAAATTTCCTTGCTCCCAGGGGCTCAAATGGTTCCAAATAGATAAAAAACAATTCTCTGAAAGTTTTAGGTCTTAATATTAACGTTTAGATAGAGCGCAATTCAATCAAAGTTTGTATGGAAAGAGCATGGAAAAAATTTTGAAAATTTAAAAAAAATGTTTTAGGTATAACTTAGCGATAAATGAATGTGTTTTATTTATTCATTTGTTTGCTAAATTACATCTAAAAAACATTTCTAAAATTTTTGAAAATTTTTTCATGCTATCTCCATACAAAACTTTGATTGAATTGCGCTCTGTCTAAACGTTAATATTAAGAGCTAAAACTTTCAGAGAATTGTTTTTTATCTATTTGGAACCATTTGAGCCCCTGGGAGCAAGGAAATTCTAAAATGACCATTTTAAGGACCACCCTAATATATATATATACATATTATGAATAAATATATACATATATATATACACATATATATATATATATATATATATATATATTTATTTATTTATTTTTAGTAATGAAGACTACGAAACCAGTATCCAAGTCGAATTAAAAGAACTGTGAAAAATACATATAAGCAGGGAATGCATCACAGAAAAATATACTGAAAATGACTGAATGATCACTGACTTTTCAAATAAAATTGAGACTCATCGGATAATCAATATAATAAATGAATTTAATTCCTATACTTGGAGATAGAGGAAGGGTAATTATTTTTCCAGAATATGTGTACCTAATATTTTTGTTCCTAATTACTATTTTATATTTTGTTTCATTCTAGGTCTTGCTCAAGTTTTTCACTTCAAAAGATTTGAATGAAAATTATATTAAATACAATTTAAAAGCAAGAAAATGAAGGCAAAATACAACAACTCCTGTGCAGATTTTCTTTAGAAAACAATAATACAGAGTTGACAAAATATTCTAACAAAGGTAATTGTAATTTTGTAATTTTCTCAATTGTTACTTTGAAAAATTATTCAATAAATTATTTTTATAATATCTATTTATTTTACTAAACTATATGCTTGGTGATGTGTTGCTGCAAAGCATATCAAATAATATGATTTGATGTGTTAAATGATATGTTTCAAAGAAACAAATGATTACAATAACACACTCTAGTATGTTATCATAATAAATGTAAAATGTGATTAAAGTTGACTACATAAAAATAATACACTGTGTTTTATCAAAGAAACACATTTGGTAATAAAATGAAATTGTTTATGTTTGGAACGTTATACATACCAGATACCTCTGTCCACAAGGAGGTACTCGACCAGAAACACAGCATGCTTGCATTCCTTCTAAGCAAGGATCGATTTCTTGTACCCGCGTCTGTTGTAATCACAAATAAGGAATCAGTCAATGAATGTAGGTTTATTTAATAATCCGAAATTTGGAAGTGATGATATATATTTATACTTTAAAGGAGTGCATTAACTTTGACACACTACAATAATGATGAATAGTAAATAACACATTATTACAAAATATTGCAGACTTAGAGATATTTATTTTTTATAAGCCTATATTAATAATAAAAATATTGTTAATATCTAAAATAAAAAATTAAAAAGGAAATACTGTTACATTATTACAGTGACATTAATAGTTACAACCGAAATTTGTTTCTAACGAAATTTACGTCAGAAAAATGTGATTTATATGTGTTTGAAAAAAAATAGTTTAAAAAAATATCGGAAAATGGAAATATATACTTTGTCCAAAATGGTTACATTCCAGAATTGGTCTTCACTTCATACTTTATTGATATTTAGATAACACGCCAGTATTTTAAATTTAATTTTTTGAAAAGTAATAAATATAAATACAATGGTTCCTTGAGATACGTGCCGGCGAAGGAGCAATTTATTGCTTCGATATACGAGCAAAATTTGGGATTTAATAACAAAATGAAAATACGATATATTTTTGTAATAATGTAATAAATATTTGGTCTGTTTTATGAAATTTAATTATTTTGTTAGTCATTTCAAATATATTATAATATTTAGGTGTGTAATAACGATTAATCGATGCCAATATATCGAGGATTATTTTAATGTTTAAAGTTTTGACTATACATTAATAATGATTGTGCACTATAAATGTATAGAAAAGTACCATGGCCATTGAATTAACGCATAATTTTATTGAAAAACATGAGGATGGTGAGGATTAGTTTTAGTAAAAAAATATGTTAATAGACATATATGAGAATTCAAATTCTTACATTTGTAACTATCCTAAAATCAATCAATCCGGGTGCCATCGGTGTTAGGACTATTGGCAACACATGTCCCTTGGGGTACACAGCCACACCTGATGTCATCGAAGTCATCATCCGATTGTCTGGCGGACACTTGACGTGAATTATTTTGATTGATTTTATTCTTTTCAACAACTACTGCCTGAGTTCTGGTTTGTGGCGCAGATCGATTTGCAGCAGCATTATCACGAAATATAAAATTTGTAGCTAGGCAAGTGGACAGCATTGCCATAATTGAGAGAAGTGTTAGGCTGACCATTCTGGAATTTAATACATATATCAAATGACATTTTGAAAGAGTTATACAAATATGGTTCAAAAAATCCTCATATAAAGCAAAAATAAATATATAGATTTCAATTCCGGAAGCCAATATAAAATTTAGAAAATGTAATGTATATACACATTTTTTTTTCGTATTTATTGTTATTTAAACATGGATTTGCTCACGCATAACGTACTATTGATCATTTTTGTGTTTTTTTAAACTAGTAATGAGTTTGTGAAATTTGATCACATTAAAAATTACTTTATCCGGTGCGTAAATGGAAAATTTAAAGTTTAAACGTTACAAACAGAGCAACGTAAAGCTTTCAACAAACACGTGTAAAATAAATGTTGAAAATATTTTGATTAGAGTAGAATTTAATACCTATAAGCATTTAAAAATTTAATTATATTTTCTACGTCCAAATATATTAATTAAAATATTTTTAAAGCATTAAATATCTGAGATAAATAAATGCGAAATAATAGTACTTACCTGAAGTTTTATATAGTTCATAGTGCATGATTATTTTAATTTAATTTTTTTGTCTATATCATATACATAAAACTCCGGTTGCTTGTTTAAAAAAAGACTCAGTTTATAGTACTATTATATTCTACATTAATTATTATTATAAAAAACTAAGTCATTCTTACCTCTAGTTGTTTGTACGTTTGCGTCGTCTAAATATTCAACCAAAATAATTAATATTACAAACGTTTTGCATTCAGTATAACGCACTTTTATTTAGAAAAACAGTGTACATAAGACTATATTATTTTCTTTTATTTTTTTTTATTTATTCACAATATTTGGTTTACAAATTTTTCAGTAATTATTTAATTGATAAAATCCATTTTACTACGATGTTGGTTTATCTCTGATTTAGTAACGAATGATAGCAAATATTGCGACAGTTACGTTAGTTCCGATGTTTTTTTAAAACTTACTGTATTATGGATACCTATATTATAATACCAAAAAAAATCTATTATAATAAAGGCTATTCAAATGCAATTGATCATTTTATAATTACATATCCATAGATGAGTTCTATGGACATTACAAATATAATCTAAATCAGAGATGTAAGATGCTATTTTATTTTTATTTATTATGAGTATGGTTTCGATAAATATGGTTTTTAATAATTTTTCTATGGACAAGTTTGTTCTCACCAGATAAACCGAATTGCTAATTATATGCTTTTTCGATATTAAGTCATTCTGAATAGCTTGAAACCAAAACTGGAACTAGCATGGATTTAAAAAATTCAAAAACTTTTTGGAACATTTTAGTCGGGAATTTTTCAGTAATGATCGATCGAGCTGTTTTTTCGTAATTATTTCTTATTTTTTACAATTTTGATGAAACTTTTTATTATGATTGAGTACATAGTGTTAACTAAATGCATGTATGTAATGTAAGTAATGCCGTATTTTAATATAAGAGTAATCGTAAGAATGGATGTGAACAATTTGTAATGAAATTGATTATATAAATATTTTATGAAATACACACATATAAAATATATTAATGTAAATTATAATAGTATATAAATTATAATTATAATTATATAGAGATTCCAATCAATAATTTTTATGATTGAAGTGAATGTATAATATATGTATATAAATTAATAGAACATAACCCTTTCGACTCGGATGCCGCCGCTCCGACGGCAAAATACATATAAATTCTTGAATTCGCGAGTGGAAAGGTTAATAAATAACTTGGAGTTATTTTTTTCTAATAACATTTAACTTTCTATATAATTTCCCAAATATCTTCTGAATTTTTGCCGTATTCTTTCGGTTATCAAAAGATTTTGGTTATCAAAATGCTTTAGTGCTTCATGAATGATTATGAAAAACTCTGAACCTATTGAGGTGTAGCTATTGTTTGTTCAATCCATGGTATGAAATTTAGTACATTGACATAAACTCCAGGGACACCAGCATCTGCACAACCGATTCCCCAGGCCACCAGTCCTGGTATAGACCAGCGACCGCTAATTTCGCAAGATAAAGGTGAACCACCATCGCCCTGTAGAGATATCATTGATCAAGATTTTTGTTTATGTTTTTATAGACAAAGCACAAAAGTGGAAAATATATTTTGATAAAAATAAAGTCGAGTGAAAAGGTGAAGCTATCAGATAGACTATTTATTATCATTATTACCGTGCAAGCATCTTTTCCTATTTCTCCGCCAGCACAGATAAAACTGTCACTATCGAACACAAAGGCAGCTCCAAGTCTGGTTCCACGTAAAGATGATTGGCACCCATCCGCGGATTGTATTATTACATCGACTTGCTTCTGCACATTCTGGAACTGACCGGTGAAAGCATTTTTGCCCCATCCAGATACCCAGCATTTACAACTAGATAATTATAAATATAAAGAAGTTATCAGATTATCTCCAAATTATTTATAAATATTTCTATTTGTCTTTACTATAAAGTTTTCATTTACTTGCAATTGCTGAAGGATCTCGTTGGTAAGCAAGCTGCTGCCACAAGTGGTGAAGTACCAAGCAATACATTATTCTTGAGTCTTATAACTGCGATGTCATTGTGCAAATTTCCATTATTGTAATCTGGATGAATTGCAACACTTTCAATAGCAAATTCTTGATGTGGAATTGGCTCTCGATCTGAAGATGCATCCCATTCTCCCAGACGAACTTTGATGTCAGCAAAATCACTGGCAACAAGATCGCTATATTTCAGTATCGAACATTTCATTAGTTTATGATTACTTAATATAATTAATATTACTCTAAATAAGGTTCAATTTTATGGGCGGCTGTTATAACGTGTCGTTCGTCCACCAGAACTCCTGATCCCATATATACGTTATTTAGTAAAAGAACTGCTTGCCAAGGATAGGCTCCAAATTGCGCCTGACCTGGACCAGTGGGTGCTGGTTGAGGGACCTGGAATATTATAAAATTGATTACTTCATTTTCAATTTTTATTTAATTGCTTTGTTGCTGATTTAGACTTTTGGCATACACGGTGTTGTAAAATATTAAAATTAATAACATTTTGTCAGAAATTTAATCTATTGGACAGTCAACAACTATGTGAAGTTCTTTAATATAGTAAATCATATATTGATGCAAATTAGTGTGGATATGACATTTATTTGAATATTTCTTAAGAAAAGCCTACAAGAACTACCTGGAAAGTTTTGAAATGTGGTGCTGGAGGCGGATGGAGAAGATAAAGTGGACAGACAAAATAACAAATGAAGAACTTCTAAGAAAAGTGAGCGAAAAAAGACTGTACTGAGTACAATCCTGAAAGGAAAAGGAAACTGG